ACCATTACCCACAGGTGCTCGAGGTAGGAGAAGGGGACGGACCGAGGCCAGCCCAGCCTAGCCTTCGTCCAGGAGCCTCCTAGCGTCACTGGCTTTGGTGACATATGCCACCATTGAACCGTATGCTTTTGCGCTGTCCTTTCGACTTAACTAGGCCAACTTGGCAATTTGCACGTCGTTCTCCTGACCGAGGGCTTCTGCGGCCCCGAGGAGGACCTTGCCTCCATGGTCGATGACCGCCGTACTGTTGACGTTGTCAACTTTGACTGGGTACAACTGGTCCCGAAGGACCCTTGCACCTGGCGCCTTCTTGGCTTCAAGGATATCCTTGATCTTTTTCAGCTCGTCCTTGTTCCTGCCCACAACCCTAAGGCGGTTGGCAGTTCCTCCATCCGTCGTGACCGCAGCACACCGCCAACTAGGCTGGTCGCCAGGCGATTGCATCTCCTTCTCAACGAGCTTGCGAAGCGCCATTGGTGTAGCTTCATTGGCGTGCTCCTCCGGCACCCTTGATATGTCCACCGTACAGAGAGTTGGTTCTGGAGTCGCGACCCGACCGGTGGAGGAGGCTGGGGTAGGAACGCTGATCGGCGGGGTATGTCGTGCGACGTCCGCATACGCTGGCCGGCTCGATTGGGCTCCTTGAGCCATGTCATAGCGTGCAGTTGAAGCCTAGTGTGCTCCAGCTCGCTGCGAGCTTGCTTGAGGTCCTCTCGCGCTTGCGAGAGCTCTTGGGTCAACTGGGCCGTCATTTTGGCGACGTCCTCTGCCATCTTGTCCCTGAGTTTTCGGAATTCGAACTGGAATTCTGCCTCCTTGATGGCTAGTTTCGTGTTGAAGTCATGATCCGCACGTTGTTCGGTGCCCTGGACTTCCTCGCTCGCGTCGTCGGCGGCTGCAGCCCGAATTGTGACATTCTTGTCGTTTCCTAGCCTTTTCTTACTACTATTTTCCTCTTCCCAATCCATATCATCTCGTTGTCGCATCGACTCCAGCGCCCTCGTCGTCCTCACCCTCTTGCGCTGAGGGCGGCGATGCCCCGCTCCTGGGACCTCCGAATCGCCTCCCATCATGTCGATGAGGTCTGGAGCACGGCGCGCCGCACCAGCCATCTGCCACAAGACTTTATCCTCCGCCGAATATTCAGAAGATGGAAGGAATATCAAGTTGGTACAGTCACAGTCACTCTTATTGCATACAGTCGCTCGCGAAATCGCCTTCCCAAGTACGTTCTGTTTTCCATACAGTGGTGATGGTGATGTGTGATGGCTCTGGTGGGTAGGGCTGAAACCCCTGCATCAGACGTGGGGCAATCCGGTCTGCCAAGGATGTGTGGCACCACTCAGTAATGCAGGTGGTCGTTCCCGAAAAAAATTAGATGTGATCGTTCTCGATCATGTCAGCAGTTCGTTTCGGCCAAGACACGGATCGGGTCGATGCGCCGCGCCCCATAGTGGGGCTCCTGCGCCGCTGGGCCGCTGCAAGGGCCCGGAAAGACCCAAGGGCCCGGAAAGACCTGCTGGCTTGCGGAATGCCAAAAGTCGCGACTTTTAGTCTTTCAATGAAGAACAGACAACACCAGGGATTCGCTGGTAACCGACCTAGCTACTAACCTGGCCCTTAAAGGCTTACCTTTTGGGAGAAGAGGGGTCAAGAAATAGGGGGCTTCTGGACCCAAAAACGGGCGCCTCGTTTCCTCTGTTAGGGCTGTCCGTTTTCTAAGAAAACGGTGAAGCTGGCTGCGCCGCAGAACCCGTTCAGACAAGTGCGGCACAGCGTCCAATCGAGCAGACACCATCTGACACAGAGGGATTGTCATAGTCCAATGGAAAAGGGACAGCTAGCCTCCCGGGAAGGGCCAAGCGAGCGCCCGGAGCGGCTGTGCGCCCACACGTCCAAGAAACCTGCCGTGGCTCAAACACACAGCAATTTGAGCAGGTTTTTCCGGCAAGATAGTCCGACCAGCTTACCCCATCGGGCATAGCGGTCACGACCCCTGAATCTAACCACCAAAGGCCCCCATTTATTCCAACACGTATCCGTAAATCACGTTTAAAATGACGGTAATTTTCGCATGCCGCTCAGCTATCACGCCTGTCAGTCCCTTAGTCCCATCTTGTAAGCCAAGAGTAGCTGAGCCTGAGAGCCAATTGGTGAGGCGCTAAGCTGAAATAGTGATACTATTGAGAAATTACGGAGATTACTACACAAACTCTTGGAACCGGACCACAGTTTTGGGAGTCTAGCCCTTCACTGGTACTGGTGAGTGAATCCATGGGTTCTGCAATTCAATTCTCTTCTACTACTTCTCCTTCCTGTTCCTGTTTCCTCTTCTTCTTCCTCTGACCTCAACAAGGAACTCCAATTCAGTCACTCGTTTGTTTGTTTTTGTGTCACTCTTTTCAAAATGTTGGGAAAAGCCAATGCCGCTTTTCTCCTCCAAGCCGCAGCTCTAATCTCGGGCGCCGCTGCCAGATGCGTTCGGACCTGCCCTGCCGATGACCCGCTCCTCAACCTGCTCCGTTCCGAGGACGCCGCCTCGAAATTTTGCCGTGGATTCCTTGGACTCGAGGCTTCCACCGTCGATGTAACCGTCACACCCACCGTGGTAGCAACCGTGACGGAGACAGCCCACGTCACCGACGTGGTCACCGAGGTCGATGAGACCATCACCGTCACCGTCCCTGCCGGGGACGCCCCGGCCACCACCGCCAGCGTCATCATCAGCACTATCCTCCCCGGCAAGCGTGACGATGTTTATCCAACCTGGCTTCCTGCTAGCTACGGCGCCAGTTACGTTTCCAAAGCCTGCTCCTGCCTCAGCTTGGCCCCTTCGGTCGTTACCGTGACCTCCACAGCCGAGCAGGTCACCGTCACCTCTGACGCCGTCACCGTCACCGAGGTTGAGACCAGCACCCTCCACACCACCGCCGTGGCCACCGCGACTGCTGCACCTGCGCCAGTCACCTACCAGCGCAAGATCCAAGTCTTTCGCAAGGACTCCGGAGCGTTCCTTGGATGGCTGTACGACAGCAATGGGGTTGCTGTCGCCGAGGACATGAACTTTGGAGATCGGAACGCCAAGTCCCGGGCCCTTGATTTTGGCTTCAGCCTGCCCGCCGGCGCGACCACGGGTTCCCAGATGCGTGTCACGGGCTCCGGTGGCGCTTTGGGTTTCCTGAAGGACAGCCATCCCCAGAATATTGTGCAACTTGAAGCGGGATAGTACGTTGTTTTCTTCGACTCGTTGGTTGTTTGGTGGTTTGACTAACTGAAATGATAGTGGATCGTTGGCCTGGGTTACGCCCACGCCGCCCGGCTCTGTGCCTAGGACCATGATCACCAACCAGCATTACGCGTACGAGTCGGATATCTGGATCGTCAACTTGGAGACTGGAGAACTTAGTTGGCGATGGATTTCCAACACCGGAGCCCGTAAGCCTTTTTTTTTTTTTTTCCTCTCTTTGCTAGAATTCCGTCACTAATGTATGGTCCTCAATCTTTCAGTCTCAAATATTCCTCTTTACAAGCTTGGCGGCCGTTTATATCCTGTGGGCAACATCGCTCAGTACAACTATGCCACGAGCGGCTCGCCCGCCCCGAAGTATGAGGTCATATTGAAGGTTTATACTGAGGCTGTACCTCAAACTCAGTAAATCATTCTCGGCAGGAGATATTTAGCCCTTTTATAGAGGGAAAGTCTTAATCTCAACCCAGAACTTCACCTATGTAGGTCCATCGTAATTCGAGCTTTCTAGTCTACTTTGTAATTACCTCAATCATCGATCCTTCAGTCTTTCCGTCTTAGTGGGTGACCACCCGCGACGACCTCCCTCAGTCTATCAATGTGCATGGCCGCCGCAACAACCGGACTCCTGTCCCCTTGTCCCCTCTACTTTAACCGTAGCTACACTGATATGCAAGTTTTCATGGCATTCACTGCCGGGCGGGCTGGCCGGTCGAGGCGTCCTGAACGGGCAAAGCGGGGAAGCTGGTATGAGAGGTTTGGGATTCGGGCGAAGGGTTGATGTGGGTTTTGGGCCGGGCAGGGACAGCGTGTGGATTCTCGGATCGCAGAGTTCAAGTTTGTGGTGGTTGGGGTTTCTGGACTTGGACTCAGACTCGGACGACGAGAGTCGACCGCCAAACACGTAGGCCTTGTTGTGCATGGGCGATGTCTGCTCCACCCTGCCCAAGTTGCCGTGACAGAGTTCACCCGCCGCATACTGCCCCGTCTTTCGTCGCTTTGCTGACTCGTTCGACGTCACCAGTCCGTCTTGGCCTTGCGGGTCGATGTTCCCATCCAACCTGGCTGGCAAGCTCTCCACATGGAGGGAGAGCGGTTTTTGGGCGGGGCCAACGCAAACAGGAGCTGCCGCCTGGCTGCGTTTGTAGGCTGAGGGGCCTTCACCACCGGTGATGAGTGGATTCGCAATGCTGTCTGTCAGCAACTGCACCCCATTCTTCTCGATGATCCGGACATCAGCTCGGCCCCTGACCAAGAGAGAGAGCGGCATCTCCCATGCAGAGCCTGCAAGTTCCGACTCTGGGAACTTCAGGTCCGCGAGGTTCCTGACTTTTAGGCTCGTGTACATCTCTGAATACCTGCCTTCTAATGAGCGAACGATTCAGTGGGATCACCGTAGTGAACTTACTTGAGACCCCGTTTAGAGCTCAGGTATGCTGGAGGAAGCATCACACGTGAATCTAAGGCAGCAGCGATGGGTGTGAAGCGCAACCCATCCGAAACTGCCTTCACAATATCCGCGCGCCGCTCTGACATTTGCACAAGCGGAATACGGGAATGCTTTCTCTGCATCAGTCAGCGCATGAGAAGGACGACGCATCTCGGATACCTACTCCGGGCAGCCCGAAACACCACCAAAGCAAGCTCTTTCCGAAAGGCATAGAGACGGTCGGCGATTTCGTTGAGAACTTGTCCTCCCACCTCCCACCTCTTTTGCGTGGCTTCCTTCGCGGGGGTCTGGATCGGCGAGGATTTTCATCTGATTGACACGGCGATAGCACCGACACACTGATAACATGATCCTGTGCATCCATGCGGATTCTTTCCCTCCTCTTTCGACATCGGTTGCTGTATTTCAGAGCACCTCCTCCAGCCGGGCTCCATCGTTGGCCAGTCTTTGTTCGTGGTGGTACTGGGCCAGGCTGTCGTCGAACCTCCTCGGAGTCGCTGGACTGACGTCCTCGTTTATTACCTCTTGTATGCCTTGTTCAAGCTGTTTGATTAAGCGCTGTGCGGTAGTCTTGTCTTCAGCATCATGGTCTTTGGCTATTGGTGACCGACCCTCCGTTGCTCCTGTTTCTTTTTCGTTTGCCGGTGTCTCTGCGCGGCACGGTGGTGTCGTCTTCGGCATCATGATCCGTAATTTTGGCGGTCGACTCTCTGTTGCTCTCGTCTCTTTTTCGTTGGGCATTTGCCTTGCGCTGCGCACCCTCGAGTCGGTTTGACGCCGGCGGACAGAACAGATGCGAAGCCGCCTGTGTCCTCTCCTTACACGTTCCGTTTGGTTCATCAACAGGGTCAAACTCGTAGCTGCCCACCTCTTTAGCCTTGAGTTTCGAAAATTCCGCCGCACGTACCAGCGCCCATCAATCCAGTCGCCGGGCTTGAAGTTCGCGCCGATGCGTCTGTAGATACATTCGCGATATATGGACGACAAACTGCCGCTGCAAGGCACGAAGATAGACCGAAGGTCGTGATTTGTTTTTCCAAGACACGAATGGGTTGCCAAGAGGAGAACAAACAACACTGACGACAGCAGAGTGGCCTCCGTGTCGTATGATGAAGGAATTGTGAACATCTTCTGCATCAGAGACTGCCAAGACAGGTGCCGCCTCTTGACGTGCCTCATATTCGGAGACATGGAGATTTAAAAACCGCTCTCCTCAATCATCGTGCACTGTATGGTAGGAGGTTTGGATGAGGTGTGTCTACATTCACGTCCCCCAACATTGGGTCCTTTCCCACACCATGACAGATCGGGCTGATTCCGCGTGTGGCGTCCAAACCCCTGTTCAAAGTATCCAACCAATTTGAAAGGAGCTTCCAGCTGTGAATTGCTGTCTTTCCGGACGCGATGGATTACAATGCATGTCTCGACGTCAACTTGTCCGTGACCTCCCCCTTCCCCCTCCCTAGACGCTCATCCTCCTTTGTCACGTCACTATCCCTTCCACTTCTGGTCGCTCGGGTGGTAATCACACCCACCACGCCATGTACTCAGCTGTCCTCATCACAAAATGTGGGTTTGAGGATCCGGGAAGCCGATATCATCCCACGCTATTTGGGTCAGAGCCTGGCCCCTGACAAATGCAGTTCAATAATTAGCCAAACAGTCCATCATTCAATTCGGTGTATATATGTCCGGACGCCTTGCACGCAGGGCACGAACTGGACTTCTGCAGGATCTCTGCATACGGCCCTGGCGACCACTGCACTTCTCCACAGCCACACCAGTTGCCTTTGCCTTCTTGCCTCTTTTCGTCCCGATGCAGAACCTACTCGACCTTGTTTGGTGGCTGCGAGTCGGCTCCTTCTTTTCAATCATGTGCCTAATTGTCTTTAGCATCGCAGGTGCAGTTTTCTCGAGACGCCGCTCCAACCGCAGAAGGACTCACACGGGGGTCTCCGAATGTCCACCCGTCTACACCGCCTGTCCGAAGGCTTTTAACTTTGTCTGGATCTCCAACCACTTGGCTGTCGCCATCTTCGCTACCGTCTTCTTCATCATCGGTTTTCAAGTAACGGTGGCCTGACTGATGGTGACCCAATTTGGACGCGATCGCGTGGGGATCTCTTTGGGAATGTTGCCGTCACTCTTCAAGTCTACCGAAGTCTTTCGGAGGTGAGTCCGCGAACACGGCGTATCGGGCTTCTTGTTGTTAATGGTTCCAGCAAACCCACCGGGTTCGTATTTGGCCGCAAACACGGATGTGGGCGCTGAGGCTGTACGTTGCCACAGCCATCATCGGACTCGCGGGGCTCATTGGGAGCGTCTTCTTCCCTGCAGACAGCCACCGCAAGGCTGTGATTTTTACGACAGTCACTTTCGTTCCTCTGTGGTCTATAGGCGAGTCTCTGGCCAGGATAACAACCTAGAAGCAAGCGCGGTGGAAGTTCTTTCTTCTCCTAGCGGCGCCGGCTTTGCCTATAGTTGGCGCCTGGGCAGCTTGGCCGTTGCCTTATACGCTGAACCTTCCGGTAAGTGCCTGCTGAAACGGTTGCAAGACTAGCGCTAACTCTATAGGTTATTTGCTTTTCTTGCCACCCGGTTGAGCTAGCGTGGCTCATTTGCATTTCGACACCGGAATCGGAGCAAAGCACGCGTTGTGTCCCGGCGCTTCCAAAGCCGGGGACGGGATATGGCGACTTCAGAGCGAATGCCTTGAGATTGGTGAGTGTCTACCGTAGGATCGGGACGGCTTCGATTTCCGTTGCAAGGGCTCGAGCTCAACTGCTTCCCTCGTGCCTGAGAGCTCGTCCGACAGCTTGTGCCGCGGAAATGTGGCGTCGGTCCGCTTGGATGTGGGAATCGCGGACCGGGCCGGGTCATGCGGCGGAGTGGGCCTAGCATGAACGCAGACCCCGAGTGGGGGGAGAGCTGGGAGGCGGAGCACAACCGCACAGGGCGGCCGGAGCCGGGCAATTCGCAATAGCACCATTTCTTCACTTCGTCTGCCTGCATACATAAGTCATGCGAATGTCTAGTACGATCAGACTTTCCCCTTTTTTTATAGACTGCGCCGTTTCATAATGCGCATTGCTGACGGTACGCTGCTAGTCTTAAGGGGGTGTCTCGATCTTGATTCGTCGGTCGGCCAGACGAGTGCAGTTGCCTAGTGGGGATTATGGATCGGGTCGGGCCGCGGCGTAGTCGGTCCTTGAGTAGGCACGGAAGCGCCTTGCTGCTCCCGAATCGAGGAATTGGAGCTTCGCACCAAAGCACACTTGGGTTGTTCTAGAGGCTCAATAGCTGCGGGATTGTCAGGGCTGTAGCTGACCTGTTGACACGCAGCCTATGATGCAGGTCGGGGGGGCTGAGAGCACGAGGCAGATTTTAGGGCTCTTCGCATCAAGGCGGTGAGAAACGACCAACAGCTATCCTTTTGTTATAGTGTGCGCGCCTGTAGACAGATACTATCGAGTTCGCTCACTTACTGTTCAAAACATCTTTACATTCGATCCAATACCTGACGCTACTCCTCGACGCCATGGCCTCCACACTCTGCGACGCCTGTCGAGGACTCCATCTCGGCGCGTTTGGCCGTGGTTGCCAACAACGCAGATCCATCGACTACGAGTGTGATGAAAATCACCGGATGGGTTTCGCGACTTGGGCAAAGGAGAAGCCGCTCTGCCCCCTTTGCGACCTCATACGTCAGTGTCTGCTCAGCAACGCCGATATCGACGAGTCGGACCTAACCGACGGCTTCTCGATATGCCAGGTGTGTGACGGGTATGAGATTCGGTTCACTTACCTGGCGCCACTTGGGAGCTTTGGGCGACCGAGACCCGTCCGTCATGGCATCCACCTGTGCAGCTGGCCTGGGGCGGGCGGGCACACCCAGCATGGGAACATGGAAGGTCTCGAGAATGACGGCAATGGAGACACCAACGCTTTCTTGATTCGAGACGCTTCTTCGTTTCATCCGCAAGATCTGCTGCGCTGGTTGGCATTCTGCCGTGCACACCACTGCGACAAAGTGACAGGATGTGGGCGCGACGCCGCAACCGTGAACTCTCCGTGCACCAGCATAGCCCTCTCCGGCTTCAACCTCATCGACACACGCGACGGCTGCGTCATAGAGGGGCGGCCCGACATGGAATACTTTGCGCTCAGCTACGTCTGGGGCGACGTTACGCAGGTGGCGCTCACGCGAGCGAACCGGGAGGCGCTGAGGAGGCCAGGCAGCCTTTGGACCAAAACCGGCGACACGAGAGTGGCTCTCCCAAAGACGATTTCCGACGCAATAGCGCTTTGCAGCGCATGCGACCAGCGGTACCTGTGGGTCGACTCGCTCTGTATCGTCCAAGACGATCCCGACAACAAGCACGTCCAGATCCAGGCCATGGGCCAAATCTACATGGGCGCGAGCCTCACCCTCATCGCCGCGGCCGGGTCCGATGCCAGCGCGGGTCTGCTGCCGTGCCCGCTAGGTACGAGCAAGGCCATTCAGCCACTTCATGTCAAGAAAGACGTCGAGGATGAAGGAACATATGTAACTTTCTGTACAGTGCCAAGTTGGGCCCGTACGGCCGAGGCGATCAGGGGCTCAGCATGGGCGAGCCGCGGGTGGACGCTGCAGGAGGAGGTTTTGTCACGGCGCAAGCTCTATTTTGCCGGCGATGCCGTTCTCTTCCGGTGCCGCGTCGGGATAGTCGGAAGCGAGTTTGGTCTCGACCTTGAGGGATCTGATCCAGGCCTTGCCGGCGGGGATTTTGAGGGCCATCGCGAGACGCTGCCCAGTTGGGTGATTTCGCTCAACACATTTTCCATCGACACGTTGCCGTCGCCGAGGCTGCCAGGACCGTCGAAGGGGCTTATCTACGACTTCACCCAGTTCGTCTCTGACTACCTCTCGCGCGCGCTCTTGTTTCCCGACGACATCATCGATGCTTTCCAGGGCATTCTGGCGCACGTGTCGCAGGCCGGACTCATCCACAGATGAGGAATCCCCGCGGAGAGACTCCCGAGCTCGCTGTTGTGGATACGGCACGGGCTGGGGCCGAAAGCACGGAGGCCGGGCTTCCCCAGCTGGTCTTGGGCTGGTTGGATATTCGACGCTTCCTCGCCGACGTCCTTCAGGCATGACAGAAGTAACTGGACCTCCTGGCGGGAGTGGTGGGATAGATATCTGCTTAGCTGGGGCCCGCGACTTTTCACACAGTCTCCCTGGAAGCCTCTCCTGTCCTGCTATGGAGTGGACGGCGAAGGGGCGCTTACGCAGCTCTCGGTCGGTGATGTGCAGGCCGTTCTCGGACTTTGCGTGAACGAGGGCATTAATAATAAGTACGACTGGAGTGACGTTTTTCCGGTTGACATTGAGCCTGAGATGGTGGTGTGGACTCGAGCCACTCTGAAACTCGTCGAGCAGCAGCTGACACCACCTTGTGAGGACCGTCTGCAAGAGCTGCTGAGAAACGCGGTGGAATTGGCCCGGGGTGAGGTCCCTTTGCGGCACCTGATGATGTTCTGGACGAGCGTCGGCAAGGTCCGGCTGACTCTACATGAGCGTCATGTCGACGGTGACGCTGAGACCGCGTCGGTAGCCAAGTTCGACGTTGGCCCTATCATCAGCCCAGTCAACGAAGACGGCGGGCGCATCCGTTTTCGGCACACGCCTCCCATAATGCTGAGCCGCGAGTTGTACAAACAACACGGCGGCGAGTTTTACGCCGCGGTGGTTGAGATGCCGGAGATGGTGGTCTGCCCTGCGGAGACGCTCCGAGAAGAAGAACCCATATTTGAGGCCATGTTGGCAATTCTCATTCTTGTCAAACAGGACAACAATACCTTTGCCAGGATTCAGGCGGCCATGGTTTGTACAACAAAATGGGCGCTTTGTCGGCCGGAAGCCGGGCTTGTCGTGCTGGTCTGAGGGCACGCGGATTCCATCAGGGAGGATAAGGGAGCCGTACCATGTATGTTTTCAGTGCCGAGTGCAAATGCGGTTGCAAAGAAAGTCAGCGAGGATGGATGGATGGATGGAATTTATTTCGCCCGGAGGCGCGAAGCCTAAAGGGCCTTAGCACGCTAACTACATCCAATTCGTTGACGTCCAACCATCAACTCGTACAGGCCCTCTACTCTCTCCCCTTTTCTCACGCCACCTGTTGCCTCTTGACTTAGTTCAGCAGATCGACTTGGAGGCTGCGTTCTCCAAGTGTTCAGCGTCCTATCTTCAGCAGCTAAAGCGGGATCTGCTGGTTGAGGCTGTGTAGTGTTAGTGGAGCTCCCCTACTGTGATTGTCCCAATCTTCGTCGTTCCTCGTCGAGATCCAATCTCCCTGTCGCCATTGCGTACTTGATCGTTGCCCGGACTGCTTTCATGTCTGGCGACCACATCTGGATCTGATGGTAATTTCCCTAACTCGAACTCGTACCAATTGTAAAGTTTTGAACCCACCAATGCACTGACACTGCGAGAGCGGTGGGAAGTCCGCTCGGTAAACACGAGATTTGTGCTTGACATCGCGAACCCAGCTTTGCTGTGCCCGGTTTGGAAATGGCCTGGAGGCGGCGATTATGCTCGAGGGTCATCACTGAGCTGGCACTGCAGGACATGTCGGATTGGTGTGCGCGGCAGCAGAATGATTGGGCCGGAACGCGTTGTTCCTGCAGGTAAACGGCTGACTGCTCGAAGGCGTCTCGGCTGGGGAAGGCATCAGCCAACCATGAGCCGCTGTGGCAAAGGGTGCGGGGTAATCGGCTCGAAGACGGCGAGTCGAAACAGGCGCCTAGGTGTGGCATGTCTTCAAAAAGTCAAATGTTCTGTTCGCAGAGCAGAAAGTCAAAACTGTGAGAGCAGAGCCGGTTATTTGCGTTGCTTGCTCGCAGGCTGGGGCTTCCTCCCGCGTTTCGTCACAGTTTGCCTCCGCTGCGCGCCTGCGGGCAACTGGTAGGGCCTTTCGGCTCAATCTCGGTTCTTGATCCCTCGCCTGACCCCTCGCCTGACACCCTCGCTTGAGAGGAATCATTGCCAAAGGCATTCTCGCCAGCCACTCCTGGCCACTCTGCGCGATTTGACTCGCACGCGATAGAAAACACGCCGACACATCGAAACGCGCCGATTGTTATAACCAGCGTTCTAAGACTCTCGAAAGGTTATTCCCTATGCCGAAGGACGCCTGTCGGCGACTCTATTCAATTTTCCGTTTGCTTTAGAAGACTCATCGCATATTGACTAACAACTACGAATGCCGAATCAGGGCCAACAATCATGGCTGCCGAAAACGTGACGAGGCCCCAAGTTGTTCTGATCTCTCTCAACTGCGAACCGTTCTTCGATGAGATGTATCGCTCCCTGCTCACGGAGCTCGAATCGAAGGCAAGCCTCAAACGCGTAAAAGAGGCAGACTCGGCTATCCGCCTGCTGTCAGAGCAGCCATCCGCTGCCCTCATAACCGACGAGGCACTGGCCAACACCGAGAACGCTCACGTCTGGGAGGCGGTCCTGCAGTATGTGCGCCAGGGGGGGATATCCGTGATCATGGGTCATTTCCCTTCCTACATCAAGCCGGCATCGATAAAACCATTCTTCGCGAAGGCGGGCTTGCAGTGGGAAGCTGGCTCGTACCATCGGACGACACTTGTGCTCAACCGAGAGGTGGTGGCCAACGACTTGGCCACAAAGCTTCCGCCGCAATATAGCCAAAAGGCGTTGTTTGTGAAGAATGTAGCGCCTGCAAATGCTTGGTATCATACGGATGAAAGCTCTGTCGTTGAGTCTCGGGTTTTCGCTCCTACGAGTGCGAATATCATGGGAGAAACAGCGGTCGCGTTTGCGAGTGTTGGACATGGGAAGCTTGGGTATGTTGGTGACGTGAACGCTGAGGAGGGCTCGGATGTTGTTATCCTTGCCATGTGTGGGCTCTGACAACGACGGGCGTAGTGGTACCGGTTATAATGACTTTCGTGGCTAGTAATTCAGAGCTCAACCTCTGCGAAACTTCTATCTTCTTGCCTATCAACAGATATTACCGCCGCCCACTATATCTGTAGTCTAGGATACGTCTTTGTGTATTTTGCCCGCGGCTCGCTGCCATGGCAAGGCCTGAAGGCCGCCACAGGCGAAGAGAAGGACGCACAGATCAAGGAGATGAAGGAGCGCTTGTCTGGCGAAAGAGCTCTGCGACGGCATCCTCCCCGAAGAGTTCACCACGTACATCAACTATACCCAACGCCTACGTTTCGAGGACAGGCCGGACTACTCGTATCTTCGTCGTCTCTTCCGTCGTCTATTTGCAGCAAAGGGGTTCAAACATGATAACGTCTTCGACTGGACGAAGAACATGTTCGACGAGACGCAGAGTAAAGTCAGTCCCGCGGTGCCTTCGATACAGGAGCCGCAGAGACCGGCCCCAAGACCGAGGAAGCACAGGAAACACCTACGCGGGGAGGTCGGGAACTCTGGGCGCTGGATGGCAAGGAGAAGGCGCTCGGACAGGACCACACATTGATTCTCGATAGGGTCACCAACTTGGGTCTTCTCTACCAAAGTCAAGGCCAGCTGACGGAGGCCGAGTCGAAGTATCGGCGGGCGTTGTCTGGGTTCCAGGCTGCCTTAGGGCCGTCTCATTGGAAGACTCAAATTGTCATACGGAATCTGGATTTGTTGACGCATGCCTAAAGGTATCTATAAGACGCCGTAACCATATATTGAACCGGGGCAGATGGAACGGGTCCATCCCGGGGAAAAAGGGGGGGGGGTTGGGGGGGACAGACACCGGGGTCGCGTTTTTGTGTTCTTTTGTTTTAGCCTTGGGATTTGGCGCTAGCACGTCATGTCTTCAGACTTAGGTAGAGGCGCCGCCCATCGCTCAGGGATGCAGGCAGGCAAGCAACGAATCACTGACCGGTTGTCGAAGAGCGTGGTCTTCGAGGCTATGGCTGTCACGACAGTGGAAGCGGTAGCCGATCGGCTATTGCACTGCCTTATTCGCTACCATGGGCTCCCCTCTGCAATTGTATCCGATCGAGGCCCCCAGTTTGTAAGCCTGGTTTGGAAACGGATTTGCGAGTTGCTCAAGATCACCCGGCGATTGTCAACCGCCTTCCACCCCGAGACCGACGGTGCAACCGAACGCGCAAACCAAGTGATGGGGCGCTACCTACGCTGCTTTACAACGTATTGCCAAGACGATTGGGCCAGCCTCCTACCTGCAGCAATGCTGGCTATCAACAACAGAGTTGCCACA